GAAGATCCAATTGATTTTGTTTGTAAATATCTGTGAGTGAAGTGGGGAAAGAGTGTGCTAAAATCTAGATATAGAATAAATATTTTTTTTACATTTAAAGCAGAAAGTTTAGGGATAAGAAAATGAACTGAAAATTAAACTGTTTCAGTTCTTATCATACATAGTACATACTTCTTACCAATTTCAATATTTTCACTAAATGAGGTAGTTTTTGTATGAATTGCACTGAAATACATATTACAGACAGGTGTCAGGGCTCTGGTAGTTACCCCCATTTAAATCATGAGTCTCTTGCCAGATTTTCAAACCTTAAAGAAGATTTATTAAGAGTAAACATGCCGGCGCTGCCTGTGTGTATCCAACTCTGAGACACATCATTCATTGACCCTGATTTCCCCCCATCCCCTGGGTGTATTATAATTCATGTTCTCCAATGGGACATATCCATAGCCAAGAGTCATCAATCATACTCTCCAGTTAGAATTTTGCACAGCAGAAACTTTGATCACCTAGAAACGGGTGGGATTCTACAGGTTCGCACCTATTCGCTAGAACTGGTTGTTAACATTCTAAGCAGTTTGGAGAACTGGTTGTTAGAAGAAATTACTGGCCTAATCCTGTAAGGAAGGCAGGAAGGAAACATTCTGGTGTTGCTTACAGAAACTGCCTCTCTGTTAACCCTCATTACATTCTTGGCAAGACTAGACTTCCTGTCTCTGGAACTTTTCTGGAGTTTTTTCCCCCTCCTTTAGTGGTACTTTACTTGTGTGGAGTGACCATTCAAAGTTACAATGGCACTGAAAAAAGTGACTTATGACCATTTTTCACACTTACGACTGTTGCAGCATCCCCACAGTCATGAGAGGCCAGGTGAGGAGATGTGTGCCTCAATGTGAGTGATATTGAGTTGGCCACACCCAGCCAATAACATGATCATCAAGCCATGCCCACCATCTAAGCCACACCCACAGAATCGGTTGTTAAAAATTTTGAATCCCACCCCTGCCTAGAAACTATCTTTGAAAACATTTACGGAGTGCAAGTTCCCCACTGCTCCCCCTCCCTTTCTGTTGGCAACTTTAAAAAGACCATAGACATATTTTATGAGTTGACAACAGGTCTATTAACTTATTCTATTTTTTAATACTGAAGAATGAGGAACAGACTATAGTGATTTTAATTTATGAGACTTATAAGCAAAAGTAGGATGGAGAATGCTATTTACATAGTGAATTAAAAGAGGAATATTTGATATTTATTTTGGTGTTTGAACAAAACTCTTCAAGTGAATGTGTCTTTCCTTTTGATAGAATATTTGTAGCTCAGGATTGGACTGTGGAATCCTTGCTGCTCTCTGTTCTTGGTAGTTTTATTGTCAAACTAGGTAATATCATCAATGCTAATATACTGGTGATAATGTAGCACTGATAATATTACCTAGTTTGATAATGATACAACAGCAAGAAAACCACCAAGCTCAAAGAGCACCAAGCAGCACCTCTCATTCCTTTATTCTCTCTTCTTTTTTTATTCATGCAGCCAATTTCTCTTTCCTTCTTGATAAGTGATGTAAAAACTTATTATGTCATCTTTCATAACTAATTTTCTGGCTTTTGGTTAAGTTTTTTTTTAAAGAATTGAATTTTAATTTCCTGGGTTAAACAAATAAGAAACTGTCATGGTATTTGTTATTCTTTTCAAATTTTAGCAGATTTTCCAAACAAAAATAGCTAAACCCACCCCCATTTTGACTTTTATTCCTCTAAATAGGCCTTTGCATATATTTTATTGATTCACTAAAGATATGCAGCTCATATCCAGAGTTTCTCCAGAAAAAAAGTGAAACTAGTCACAACTATGTACAATAGCCAGGATTTTCTTGTTTTTTCCTAACCACTTAAAAGAACGTTGTTGAATATTAAAAATTATCTGATTTTTTAAACAGCTAAATAATTAAAATTGCATAAAACCACATTATCCATCTTTGGTGTTTTCTTATTAAATTTCATCACCCACAACTGAGGCAGCTTTGGAAATTGCAAAAATCAGTTTTGAGGTGGAATGTGGCTTGTAATACTATAGCTGGCCAATGTTGAGCCTAGGTGAAACTTATTTCTGGATAATTCTTAAATTTTTTCTGCTTAAGTTACAACTACCACAATATTATCTGCTTTCACTACTCACAACACATATTGATTTTCTCACTTTGTAAGTTGTCTTTCATATTTATTATTTTCATTTTAAAAATTCTATTTTTCATAAAAAATAGATTTTATAAGTAAAACTTTTACAACTGGAGCCTGAGATAACTCGTTCATTGTAGGATAGCTGGATATACTTGTGTAATTTCACGTGTATATGTGTGTGTGTGTATGCGTGTGTGTGTGTATAAAGAAAGAGAAATAAAAATAGGCATATCTTCCTTAAATATTTATTATTGATATCCTGTTTGTTTGATACAGAGCAGGGTTATTTGTGACATGAACTCCAAAAATATTAAAATATGAAAATTCCATTTACACTCAGTACATTGGTGTAGCACAGTAGAAACCTCTGTGGGTTTTTAATATTTCAGAATAAAGGATTTTGTTTAATTTTTAAACATGTATTTCATTTTATGTTTTATTTAAATTGTTTTAACATTTGCTAGAAGCCCCTGAAGGATTAAAACTTTTGAAACTTAGGTTAGATTAAAAATAGACATGAAGAATGCTGCATAAAAAGAATAGCAGAAAAAGGGAGGCCAGTGATATCACAGTATACCACTGAGAATGAAAATAGGCCTCATTACAAAGCATTACTTACAGAAATAAGCTGATGAACTTGATAGAATCAAGATGATAATTAATAACATGCAAGCCTTCATGTATTAAATTAAAGAATAAGAAAAAAACCCTCTCCAAATTAATGTGCAAAATCAGATTTGGTGTAGCTATTCTTTAGCTGAACGTTTTGACTCACAAAAATGAGGAAACACTTCATAGATGTTAATGAAACAAAAAATAGTTTGCAAAAACTGAATATTAGACAAAAAATAGGAAGAGATGATGGAGATCTTTGGGACACTGCGAGGCATACAAAATAATTGGCATTAATGTTCTGTTTTTGGAAGGAGCTAAAATGGAAGACAAAATTAAAGAAAAACTGAACAAATGAACATTTTTAAATTGAGGGGACAGGATGGAGGTTCCAATTTAAACATTAATGCTAATAGTTATAGATCCATTATTTTTCGCCTGCAGGAAAAAAATGTGTTTTCTATACTATTTATCTTTAATGTAATTTTCTACATTTTTGTATCTGTTGTTTTTATATTTATGTTTTTATCTGATTGTTGTGCTCACTCAGAATCACTTTTGATGAGCTATACAAATTTGATTAATAAATAAACACTTGTTCACAACCCACCGAAATCGGCTGGTAGCATTAATAGTTTTCTCAACTCTTTTTTTCTCCAGAGGATGGACTTCTGGAATATTATCTGAGGCAAATTTTAGAAAGGGCATTATAATATTTGTAAAGTGCCAATGATGAACTAGCTTGAAGCCATTCTGAAACATTTAATCCTCTTTTAGAATGACAGTTAAAACTAGAAGAACTTTTGAGTCAAATAGGCAGAAAGAGCTGGAAAGTGCCAAGGTCATGAAAGTTCATCATTAATAAATGAACAGTAAAGAACAAACCCAGAGGTAAAGAACTTAGATAATGAAAAGATACTTGTATTATTTGCCAACTTGCCTATTTGGATTAACCTATAATAATCAAAGCTGTGTATCTTCTTTGCCTAAAACTGTATAAGTGTGCTGCAAAATTGCAAATCTGCACACTTGCTTTGTGGCACCTGCTCCGATACTTCTCTGTTCTTTTGTGCCGAATAAAAATTGGATTTTGGTTCCTGTACTAGAATGTATTTCATTGGCTACTCACATCAAGTGAATAAACCTAGTGTTTGGCTGGGCCAGCACCAGGAGTCAGTTATTGTTGACAGTAGATACATTTTGAAAAAATAAACATTCTCAAACATTTTAATTGAAACCTTCATTATATAAATCCTAGCTAATGATTTTTTTATTTTTTGTTTACTGTTAAATGGGTAGGAGAATGGTAAATGTTGTGCATTCTTAAATGGATTCCTCCATATAGATCTGCTTGATTATTTCTTCTTAAGAGTATCTTCTATCTCTCCTGCTTTAAACTACACTATAGTACTCCACTGATTTGCAAACTATAAATTATTTTAAGATTATTTGAGTTTTGTTTAATGTTAAATTGAAGAATTAACTATATCTTCATTAATGTGCTCATGATGAGAAATTGATTTTGAAAAAAAATCACATGCTTGTTTTTAGATATACATGTTTGTGTGTGATTTATTTTTAAAAATGCAGCCTTTTTATTGCAATAGAAATGGAAGGTGGACTGCCAGTTCAATTAATATAAATTTTAAAGTATCTTATGCAGAGTTATATTTTTAATTGGGTAAAATGTTTCAGTTGATCCATTTCAGTAATTAATAGCATAAATAAAATCATTTATGATAATTTGGTTATGGGTTTTAACAAGTGTGACACGAAGACAAAAATCCTTAGTATATTTTACAAAATCAAAACTATGACTGAATGTAGGATCAGGACATGGGCTAAATGATAGTAGTTAAAGAAACATTATGCATAATTGATAACTGCAAACTTATTATTCAAGGCAAAGTTAAAATATATCAGAATGCAATAATGGTTTCTATTTCATATATAAGGTCAAAATATAGTTGAACAAACTATTAGCAGCAGTGAAAATTAACAAGGTAGACCATTTTGGAAGATTGGGCAAATAAACTCTTCTCTGGATCTGTCAGGCATTAACAGGTTACATGGAGTAAGTTCAATGCGTTTCTTTTTAGATCAGAACTCCACTTTGAATATGGTCTAGCTAAACAAATCCTATGCCTACCCTCTAGTCATATTACTTACAAAATGAAAGTCTATGCTGTCATTTCTTCACAGCAGACTGTATTCAAAGAATGAGACAAACACCTCCTCTTGATGAATTGCAGCCTCCACCATACCAGGATGATAGTGGCTCTCCACATCTCTCCTGTACACCTTCTGAAGTTGGTGAGAGCAAATGTGAATTTTCTCAGTGCAGCAACAGTCCAAGATGTTCTTATAAATGCCCAAGTGAAGGAAGTAACGGGCATGAAATAGAAAGTTTCCATAATAAAGGATATGAAGAAGATGTGCCTAGTGATAGTACTGCTGTCCTTAGCCCGGAGGTAAAAAAAAAATTCCCAAAACTGTTTAGCATAAAATGAAGCATGAATTTTTAAAGCTCTTGTCTATTATGTATTGACAGGTATCCATTGATTGACCTACTTTTGTGCTTTTTGTGAAACAATTGAAAAAGCCCTCACTAAACACTTTTTCTCAGGTGTCAAAGATCTTTTCTGTTTACAAAAGGAAGGCCATGTAAGAGCAATGCTTGTAGTGCATAGTAAAGTCTTAGAGTCTTCATATTAAAGTAAAGGTATGGCCCTGGAGAAGAATATACAATAGGATAAGAGTTCCTGAGCTAAGAGTTACATTTCCTTACTTTTCCTTACTTTGAGGCATATTATCCTCCCCAATTGCTCTGCCTCTTTCAGTGGTGCATTTTCTTGCCATTTTGGAATAGGAAGCTCTAATTTGATGCCAAACTGTAATCACAATTTGTAACAAAAACAATATAACAAAACCTTGTTGGCAATATGGTATTTGGATTCCTGTCTTCTTTACAAGTATTAACTGTTGCCTCTGACCATCAAAATGTTGCTCACTTCTGTCCTCTTGCATAATATGCAACCCATAATATGCAACCCAGTAGGATGCCACACCAGCTGACGAGCTATTCTCAAAAAGCTAAGCAGGGTCTGACTTGGTTAAGACTTTGATTGGAGAGACCTGGAAATCCAGGGTTACAGACTAGAGTTATAAATTATCATGTAAGAAGTTAGTTGCCTAAAAATCTATGTAGGTATGTCCACAAAATCACCAGAACTCAAGCTAAAGTAGATGAAACATTACTTTTTACTTTTACATAACAGGCTGAGATTTGGAATTCAGCCTTAAGAGAAGCAGTCAAAATTATAACACACACACACACACACACACACGCACACACACAAATCTTGAACTTGAAATATTTCCTTTAAAATTAGATCTATTTTCCTTCCCTTCCTCTAAATGCATGTTTTGTAAAAGAGACCCAAGGAGATAAGGAAAGTTAGACAAGTTTCATTCATACAACTATCCAGAGGCATTTGAAGGATTCAACATTTGTATCAAAATGGCATTACATTATGCAAAATCTGTCTCTTTCTTTTATGTATGCAAAATCATAATTTAAACCCTCCTGCCTGCTGCATAGACACATAATTCAGATAACCAACACCTTTAACTTTAAAAGCTGTTCACATAAGTTATATTGTGAATATCATCTTATCTAATTTTTCCTTTCATTCTCTTATTTTTGTGGTCCTAGCTTCTACATAATAACCAATTTGACCCAAGTTTGTCATTGCATTTTTCTGTTTTATATTTATATTTATTTTGTTGTTATTGCAATCAGCATAATTTTGTTGAAAACAGCGTGTTTTGTTATTCCTTACTGCATTTTAATGCAAAGCTACAATTCAGCACAAATACTGCAGCTTTGTGAAATTTTGATAACTGTGTGGCTCCATGAGAGAAAAATTCATAATCCATAGTAGGGGAATATTGTCATTCAGAATCAGAATACATTGATTGCTCTAACCATGCATTATAAAACATAGTAATCATCAGGGCTGCACAGAGCTTTGAGGCGATGTTTTGCATCAATGAATTTTCATAGGAAAAAATGTTTTGAAAGTGCTTTGTGAATCAACATGCATGTTTCTAACAGCGAAATAGCTGCATAAATATGTCATCTAGCAGCTCTTAACTAGAAGAATCTTCCTGTCTTCCAGCAACTAGAACTGTTAGATAAAGCTTTATGGAAACAGAAAAATTACAATATTAATTAATTTCATAAATAATAACAATCCAAATTCTACAAGTTAACAAAAAATCAAGAAGCCCTCATTCTAACTTTAAAATATAAAATAAAAATGCTATATTGCATTTAGAAATTTAGAAAATTGCATTCTCAAGTACGCATCTTTATTAGAATCAGAGAAATGATATGGAATTTCTGTCCTTCAACAATTAAGCAACTTAGAATGTACCACAAATCAAAAGCCATGTGAACAATTGGCAGTGAAATAAAATATATATGTAGATATATTAGTAGTGATCCACACATGTTTTATTATTGTGTTACAATCCCAAATGTTCTATTCTGTCCTTGGAAAGGTCATTCCAATGTTGACGTTGGAGGCGGGGTGCATTTTGAGCCTATCAAAATTCTTGAAGTGCACTATATTGAAGTAAGAGCAATTTATTTTGAATCAGACCTATTCTAATATGATCAGAATAAGCCATTCCAATAACAGGACAGTTTGAATGTTTGGGGAGTGGAACATTCCAATCTCAAAATGTTTTTTAAAATTTCTAGTAGAAAGTACTTAAAAAACAAATGATCTGTTTATGCATCTCTTTGGTTTAAAGCACATCTCCTATAAACTCTCTTTACCTCCCTTTAAACTCTCCCCTCTATTCTAAGATGCAGTAAGACTTTGGATATCTTTTTCCCATGTCCCATTTTACTTTTTTTGCAATCTATAGAAGTATATTTTTGTTGCTGTGCATATGTTGTTCTTAATAGAATGTTTGATTGCTCTATAGGTGTAAAATCCATAAACTTCCTATAATGCAAGGAAAGATATCATGTATGTATGTATGTATGTATGTATGTATAGTATTCAGCTCTGTTCGGGTATTTTCCCACATCATTACAGTTGTGCTTTTAAAGTTGCAGTGATGTTTTGGCAGAATCTCATCTGCCATCATCAGGCTTGTGTATTGTGTTTGTCTGTGAGTCAGGCTTTCACAGCCATTTCTGTTTTAATTTTGGTGCCAGCCTCCTGCTGTGTTAGAATAGTTTTTTCATCATCCTGATTGGTTGGGAGTCTTGGTCTGTGTTTACTGGTCTTGGAGTTTGCTGTGTTCTGCTTGATTGGTGTTTCTAATATCCTCTGTCTGTTTTGTAGCATTTTTTTGTCTTGATTGGCTGGCAACATTGTTTTTCCTGTATTGGAGGCTTTTACTGCGGCTTGGCTTTGAGTAAAAGGACGGCTATCATTTATTAGGAAGCTAGGTTTCATCTAGGTGCCTGGTTAGGGTGTGTTTGAGCTGGAGGTATCAGGCCTGCCACATCATGCCCTGCCACATACATCAGACAGACCAATAGAAGAATAAATACCCGCCTGGATGAACACAAAAATGCAGTAAAAAAGCTGGAACACACTTCCTCACTAGTCCAACACATGAAAGCCACAGGTCATAGCATCAACTTCAATGGCACCAAAACCCTAGCCATTATAGAAAACCCCAGCTACAGAATTATCAGAGAAGCCATAGAGATTGAAAAAAGACCTGAAAGCATGAATAGAAGAGATGACTCCACCAGACTGTCAATTATCTGGAAGCTTGCACTCACAAACAAAAAAATCTCCACACCACAAGCCAAGCAAACACCTGGGCACAAACAGACCCTCCCTGATGCTATGACCTGTGGCTTTCATGTGTTGGACTAGTGAGGAAGTGTGTTCCAGCTTTTTTACTGCATTTTTGTGTTCATCCAGGCGGGTACTTATTCTTCTATTGGTCTGTCCAATGTATGTGACCGGGCATGATGCACAGAGGACTTCATATATGCCTTGGTTTTCCGGGTCAATTTTATCTTTGGGGTTTCTAAGGATGGCTGCTATTTTTCTGTCTGTTTTTGAAGGCAGTCTTGATGTGATGCCTGTGTAGTATCTTACTGATTTTGTCTGTAGTCCCTCTTATGTAGGGCAGGACAGCTGTTCCATAGGTCTGTTCATCTTCTAGGTCTCAATTAGGTCTCAGTGTGTTTTTGTGGATCAAGTTGGTGATTTTGCTTTTGTGGAAGCTGTTGGCTGTCAGTACTTTAGTCAGGGTGCATAGTTCAGTCTTCATGTGTGTCTTGTCTGCCAGGCGTCTGGTTCTAGCAATTAGTGTTTTGGCCACAGAGTTTATCTGTGCTGGGTGGTGGTGGGATTGGACATTGAGGTAGCGGTTGGTATGTGTTTTCTTCTGGTATATGGTATGTCCTAGTGTGCCATCTGGTTTTTTTTTTGTAGATTAGTACATCTAGGAATGGTAGTCGTTTGTTTGTTTCCGTTTCCATGGTGAACTTGATTTTGGGGTGTGTGCTGTTTAGGTGTGTTAGGAAATTGTTTAGGTTTTCTTTTCCATGGGGCCAAATCACAAATGTGTCATCGATGTATCTTAACCATAATTTGGGTTTGTGGGTGGCATTAGCCAGGGCTCTGGATTCAAATTCTTCCATGAACAGGTTTGCAATGACCGGTGACAGTTTCTTGGAAATGATCAAAGAGCTACACGTGGAACAAGAATATCTGCTTGTAAGTTTTGACGTGGTTTCACTATTCACTCAAGTCCCGATAAAAGAAACTCTTGAAATCATCAAAAATAAATACCAACCAGCTAAACACCTCATGGAACTAACAGAACACTGATTAACCAACACATATTTCATATACAAAGGACAAAGATACAAGCAAATTGAAGGAGCCCCTATGAGATCACCACTGTCACTTATCATTGCAAACCTGTTCATGGAAGAATTCAAATCCAGAGCCCTGGCTAATGCCACCCACAAACCCAAATTATGGTTAAGATACATAGATGACACATTTGTGATTTGGCCCCATGGAAAAGAAAACCTAAACAATTTCCTAACACACCTAAACAGCACACACCCCAAAATCAAGTTCACCATGGAAACGGAAACAAACAAACGACTACCATTCCTAGATGTACTAATCTACAAAAAAAAAACAGATAGCACACTAGGACATATCATATACCAGAAGAAAACACATACCAACTGCTATCTCAATGCCCAATCCCACCACCACCCAGCACAGATAAACTCTGTGGCCAAAACACTAATTGCTAGAACCAGACGCCTGGCAGAGAAGATACACATAAAGACTGAACTATGCACCGTGACTAAAGTACTGACAGCCAACGTCTTCCACAAAAGCAAAATAACCGGCCTGATCCACAAAAACACACTGAGACCTAATGGAGACCTAGAAGATGAACAGACCTATGGAACAGCTGTCCTGCCCTACATAAGAGGGACTACAGACAAAATCAGTAAGATACTATAGAAGAGAGATACTGTGTACACTATAGAAAACCCCAGCCACAGAATCATCAGAGAAGCCACAGAGATTGAAAAAACACCAGAAAGCATGAATAGAAGAGATGATTCCACCAGACTGTCAATCATTTGGAAGCCTGCACTCACAAACAAAAAAATCTCCACATCACTAGCCAGGCAAACACCTGGGCACAAACAGATCCCCCCTGATACCTCCAGCTGAAACACACCCCAACCAAGCACCCAGATGAAACCTAGCTTTCTAACAAATGATAGCCGTGCATTTACTCGGAGCCAAGCTGCACTAAAAGCCTCCAATACAGGAACACAATGTTGCCAGCCAATCAAGACCCCCCCCAAAAAGCCACATAACAGACAGAAGATATTAGAAACACCAATCAAGCAGAACACAGCAAACTCCAAGACCAATAAACACAGACCAAGACTCCCAACCAATCAAGGATGAAGAAAAAACCATTCTGGCGCAACAGTAGGCTAGCCCCAAATTTAAAACTGAAACAACTGTAAAAGTCTGACTCATAGACGAACACAATACAGAAGCCTGATGATGGCAGATGAGATTCTGCCGAAACATTGTTACAACTTTAAAAGCACAACTACAATGATGTGGGAAAATACCCGAACAAAGCTGAATACCGTATATATATATTCGTAAATTTTCCCGTGTACAGTTATGTAGGTCTAGGTGTGTTCGGGTCTTTTCCCGTGTAAGATTAAGAGTATCTTGGCGACGTTTCGGCGAGGTCCCACTCGCCATCCTCAGGCTGGTGCTTTCTGCTTCGTGCCAGTGCAAGCAGTGTGTGATTGGAGCTGCCGTCTCTCTATAAAGAACACAGAACACAAAACACAGTCAGAAAAGAAGAAAATACTTCCTCCCTCTTCCAGCACCTTAAAGCCACAGATCATAAAATTAATTTTGAAGGAACCAAATTAGTATCCAACACTGAACACTCCAGCAAGAGAATAATCAGGGAAGCCATCGAAATAGAGAAACACCCCCATAACATGAATAAATGGGATGATACCTCCCGCCTACCAGACATCTGGAAACTAGCCCTCACCAACAAACGAGTCCCAGCCACGAAAACCAACACCAGAAAACCCAAACAACACAGGACACCACTGCCAACCCCGCTCATCAGACCCAGGCCCAAACCCATCCTATAAACAAAGGACAACCACCTTCCAGAAACCAGACCATGTCTGCTTCGCCAGCTGTTGCACCCCCCGAACCCAAAACCAAACAAGCTGACACACGCCAAGAACACAGACCCAGACCTCAAACTCAAAGCCAGACCAAAACCCAGAATGCTACATCACAGCCACCCACTCAGGATATCACATCAGAAAACTCAAGAAATTACACCACAAGAACTCAAGAAGTTGCAACACAGCAAACGACCCAGGAAATCACAGCACAAGACCACGGATACCACAGCAATAAAACTCACAAGGTCATCGCACAACCCATTACCCAAGCCGTTACAACACAGGAGGCTAATGGAAAAGAGATCAAAACACAAACGACCCAGGAGATCACAACACAGGACCCAGGATGCCACAACAAAAGAATTCTCAAGGCCATCACACAATCCATTACCCAAGCCATTAAAACACGGGAGGCTAATGGAAAAAAGATCACTACAAAACAAACGACCCAAGAGATTACAGCACAAGATCCAGGATATCTCCACAACAAAACTCACAAGGCCATCACACAGCCCATTATACCAACATCAACTCCATCAACCAATCAAGAGACAGTAGCGCAGCCAACCAGCCCAGCACACGGCAGCTCCGATTACATACTGCTTGCACTGGCACAAAGCAGAAAGAACCAGCCTGAGGATGGCGAGTGGGACCTCGCTGAAACGTTGCCAAGATACTCTTAATCTTACACGGGAAAAGACCCAAACACACCTAGACCTATATATATATATGTGTATATATTATTCCATATCTGTCAGTAGCAATATAAACCTTTGAACACATGTGCAAGACTGTAAATCTACTTTTTTTCTGTCTCGCTCACTTAGGATCTGTCCGTTCAAGGATCATCATCACAGCTCCCTAAATCTTTTGATCCAGAACCAGAAGCTAAATATGGCACCTTGGATGTGACTTTCGACTATGACTCACAGGAACAGAGGCTTCTGATAACAGTTACATCTGTCACAGACATTCCAAATTATAGCAAGACAAGTGGAAGTCTGTGGCAAGTACACCTAGTTCTCCTTCCTATCAAGAAACAGAGGGCAAAAACCAGTATCCAACGTGGTCCTTGCCCTGTCTTGACTGAAACATTTAAATTTAATCACATTGAGTCTGAGATGATTGGGAATTATGCAGTACGCTTTAGACTATACAGTATACGTCGTGTAAAAAGAGAAAGAATTTTAGGAGAAAAGATATTTTACTTAACCAAATTAAATCTTCAAGGAAAGATATCAGTACCAGTGACTCTAGAACCAGCATACAACATTTCTGTAAGTATTAGATCAACTAGAATAAATGTTCAGGCATTCAATTGATTTTGAACAGAGTTTCCACTAGTAAATATAGTTAAACACATCTTAGAAATTTGAAGCTAAATGTTGCTGTAGGGTAATTTTAAGAACAAGGAAAGGTATCCTAAAAACCACCTTTCATTATCTCTTATCACTGATCATACTGGTTGGATGCCATGAGAATTCAGTGATCTTTGAAAGGTCATAGATTCATTTCAAGTCAGTGTCAACGTATTGATTTTGATTTGCAAAGCCTTAAAAGATTTGAGCCCCATGTATAAGACAAGATGTTTCTTTTTTCCCCAATTAGCTTGTCTCATCCAACTACTGTGCAAAGCACATTGATAAAAATGTATTCCTATTGTGCTAGTTATGAGGAGTACTTGCTCTTAAAAGATGCTAAGTTTGCTTGCTAGAAGTATGCCTTATGCTAATCTTACAGATGTTTTGTGCCTGGCTAAAACATAAGTATTTTACCCAGATATTTTAAAGCAATTTGATGCTACTGTAATGGCTGTGATTAAATCATTTGTTTCTGCTGATTGGTTCTTTCTGTTGATTGACTTTGGTTCTTTTTCATTATATTCTATAATACAATAATATATAACATGTTCCCTCCTCAGGGATCTTTTTTTAATGAATGACAGAATGTGAGTAGAAATAGATAATAAGGTGTTACGTGCAGTTTTATTCTGATAGCTCTACAAGAAGCTTTTTATTTTTTTGGTAGGGGAACTGTTTTTGAAATAGTTTGTTTTTTTTAAATGAGTACAAGTATGTTGTCCTGATACTCGTAACTTAAGAAGTTACAGTAAAAAATTATTTATATATATCAAATAAAGACATTTGATGTTATATGTCTGTCCAGTATGGTAACTTTTTTTAATCGAATGAAATGTATATTTTTCTCTAAGATCCATACATGCTCTGTGTATGCAAGCACTCAGTTACCTGAACAAATAATCTAAAATATGGAAATAAGCTTTTTTATAATAGACAAAGCTTTTAGTTACTTACAACAGAAGAGGGAATAACAAAAGGCATTTTACAGATTGAAACAAAAAACAACAAAGATTTCCCTTTTATAAAAACTCTATATTTCATCTCATCCATTTATCAATTGAACTGTAGAATAGCCACACCTAAAGGAAGCAAAGTAGCTTAATAAGCGCACCACTGCTGCTAGCTCTCAGATTCTCCTGCACGAGCTATTAAGCAAGGATTGCTTCAGAAGGCAGAATTTACGACAAGAAAGGTCATAAAATGGGGCAAAACTAACTTAACAAATGCCTCACTTAACAACAGAAATTTTGGGCTCAATCGTGTTCATAAGGACTACTTGTATTCTACCTTAGTTATGTGTTCCTTATTTCACTTTTTATATTTGTCCTTTTTGTCTTTCAGTTTATCAGAGAGTTTTTCATGGAATCCTTTTGGTTTCTTCTGGGATCTCCTATTTTTCTTTTTTAGTAGTATTGTGCTAGACTGGGCATTTTTCAGAATTTTTTCAAGCTTCTTGAGTTGTTTTTTCCTTAAAGATGTCCATCTATGGAATCCAAGCTCTTTCTAAGTTTGTTGAAATCAGCTCTCTTAAAGTCTAAGACAGTAGTTCAACTTTATTCTATTACTTGGGCCTCCATTACGCTGAATTCTAATATCACCTGGTCATTCTCCCGCAATGTCCCTGTAACTTCAATTCCTTCTATCATTTCACCTTTTGTTAGTGAGAATTAATGGCAGTATAGCTGCCCTCTACCTTCCCCAGGTTTTGGGAGAGAAAATTGTTTGCTACCTTTTCATAAAAGATTTATGAGATTTATGCTTGGAACTGGCTTTTGAAAGTTTTTCTCCCTTCCTGTCCAGTATTCCTAGTTTTAGTTGAAAGTCCTTTAGATAAGGTGAGAAACGTCATTATTCAGCAGCCTGCCTTTGGTAGAGAATCACCATTCTACCTATACATGAATATCCAAGAGAGACAGAATATACTGCCAGGTATTTCATTGACATGTCTGAGATCACTGTCATCTTGCAAGGCCTTAAAAGAGTTAAGTAACTAATTCCTCAGCTGTGCATATTAGATGTGCATATCATTTTATCTTGTGCTATGGGCTGGGTCTGAATGTCAGTTCCTGAAAATGATAGTCTTGAATTCACAGAAAGTTTCTGATTCAGAGGCTGATTGTTACTGAGAGAATGGAAATGAGGACACTTGTATCTTCTTCATCCCCACATGCCTCTGCAATCTGCTTTAAATAATTGAATGACTTAATAAAACAATATGAGACTGGGGAACAGAAATTGCCTTCTATTCCTTTCTATCATTGAGAATATTTTCAGGAAAAGTTCATTCAAGGGTTGATATCTCAAGCCGAAGCAAGTATTAGCTGAAATCCAATATATGTATTGGCCACTATAGTAAATGTTATCATAAGATATACAGCATAGAATATTACATGCATTATTAGGTAGAATGTTTGAGCTACCAGAAATAATTGTATATGGCTTATAAGTGAAAAACTGTCACTGAAATCAAAACCTACTAATAACTTGGAGACGGCAGGAAAAGAAATTGTTACTAATAGTGGGAAAGGCATAAAAAGTAGGAAAATGGTTTTTTAAAGAGGAACCTGATTAAATTTTAAACTTCTTAGGCTGTTAGAATTGTTTCTAAATGATTATTTCTACATATAGATTTTAAATGCCATTAATAAGTCATAAGTAACAAATTTCTTCATTGTTAAAAACTCTTCTGTTCCATGTTTATCTTGAAGTCATAAACTGTCCAATGTGATCATGTAGTATTGCTTAATTTTCTGGACAGCCAGTTCTCTTAGATTTCAGTTTTTTTTCTAGTGTATTGATAATGGAACATGAACAAAGGTATTGTCATAAGTTAGTTTTCTAAAATATTTAGCTTGAATTATCTAGTTTCGTTTCTTAAGTCGGATAATTTGTTCTCATTGGTCAATTGTTCCATTCTTTTTTTTATTTAAATTTTTGCACAAAACAAAACAAAAAACAAAAAAAACCATCAGTGTTTTTCAGTGGCAGAAGGCTTTTTGATCAAGTTTAAGCATCAATCAACAAGATGGCTGGAGGTTATTCTCAATAATTAAAGATGGAGCTGACAGCAAAGGGCTACGTCCACCTCTTCCAGTCATTTATTTTCTAATTAACTTCCAGTTTCTGCAGGGCTATGTCTTCTGCATTCTATGGAGGTAGCCCCTTACAACTCAGTCTTAGTTCTGTCGTCTAGAAAAGAGGGACTTTTTTTTCTTCTTGGCTTCATTTGGTCCCCAAGGTATCCTTGGACAAAGAATTGAGATATAACAATTGAGCAATGATAAAGAAAAAAAGTTTGATCTCATAGTAGAGGGGAATGGCTTCACAGCCTTTATAGCAGACAGTGATATTTTTCCTTTTCCCCCTAACCCTTGCTCTGGGTTGGTACCCATTTCCCCCTAAAGACCACACACAAGATTACAGTATTCATTTAGACAGCAATTTGTGAAGAGACTTTTTTCAATAGCAGAACAATGAGTAAATCTGTCCAGTGTGCTTCAGGTCCAAATAACCTTAATTGTGGAGTCCTCGGGGGTGAATGGTAGTCAGCTCATTTTCTGAACTATCTGTCCTTCAAAGGAAAAAGAAATAGATCTGTCTGTGGCCACCTATCTATGAATATCTGAAAACGTGCAATAGATCAAATATTTCTCTCTGACTTTCCTTTGAGAGAGGTAAGGTTAAATACTTCATATGGACTATTCAAATTTCTAGTCATGGAATGTTTTGTCGCAAAAATACATCAGTTGAATCAAATGAAACTGGGAGCTTCTGTTTCTAAACATATTGCTGCTTTTCATTAACATAGAAATAGTGAAGCCTAGTTTTCTACTATGTGTTAAATTCCCCGTATCGATAGATATGTGAGCTTAATGTTCTTGCTATTAACATTTAGAATAGGAAGCATATGGCACATTCTGAATTACCTGGTCTTGAACTCTTTTCTATAGTGCTGAACTGACATAAAAAGATCCTTATATACACTTGCACAGTTTCCATAGAACTTCACGAGGAAATCTTTTTCAACGGTCCTCAAGTAAATTCAGATTAGTTATTACAAATGCTAAACCATGTAGAATTAGCCCATCTAAGAAGTTCAAAATACAGGGCAGGTGTTGGGACAAGATAAATATGCCATCGGGCATACATATTAGCAGGATTTGAGAAGAATGACTGGAATCTTCAAATCTGTCACTTGCATCCTGGTTACTTTGTAATTGGGCTATTACAAAATGTTCTGTGTGGGGTTGCTCTTAAAGATCAGCCAGAAGTTACCGCTAGTTCAAAATGTAGCAGCATGATCCATAATAGGCACAGTCAGCTTCTAAGTGCAAGACAACAGAATATTTGATGAGCAACTGTGGAAGAGACAAAATGATTTGAAAATTAAGAAGATTGCTTAGTGGAGTTGATGAAGATGCTGTTGGTTGATCTAAGCTTCCCCAAGTCATCAACATGCAGCCAGAGTGCCATTCCATGATCTTAAAATATGTATTTCATTTTCCTGTTCCAAAGAATAAGAAATATAGTCTTTTAAAGAAAAAAAAAGAAAGTGTTGGTTGTCACCTATAGAGCTCTTCATGGTTTAGACCTTGATCATCTGTGGACTGCTTGTCTCCTGATATGTTCAGATAGAGTGACTCTGCTCCTGCTTGTGTGTTGTGTGTGTGTGCACGCCTTTGAGTTAGCTTGTCAATTTTTGACTCCTGGTAACTGCCTGAATTAGTTCCTGCAGTTTTCTTGGCAAGTTCTTTTTTTCAGAAATGACTTACCATTACCTGCTTCCTAGGACTGAAAGAAAGCGATTGGCCCAAGGTTACCTAGCTGATGTTTGGAACACTCTACCTGACTCTGTGGTTTCTTCCCCAAACCCCAAAAACTTTAACCTCAGACTGTCTACTATTGACCTCGCCCCTTTCATAAGAGGTCTGTAGGGGGCGTGCATAAGCGCACCAACGTGCCAACTGTCCCTGTCCTATTGTTTCTTTTATTTTTCTTACATGTATCCATTTCATGTATTCATAACTATGTTTATTCTTATACCTATTATCTTGTAAGCGATTGACAAATAAAATAAAATAAATAAATAAATCTTGTGCCTAAGGCAGGACCATTTCCACATTCTAGCCTGATGCATTAATTGCTACTCCAAACTGGCTGTATCAAGGACTTTGTCAAGGATTAATGGACAATGGATTTCTAGTACCTCCACTATGCTTCTAGTTTGGGAACGCAGAACTACCTCCAGTCCCTAGATGAACTGATCTGAACTCTGTTTCATAGGTTGCATTACAATAATTAAGATATCCACCACTTCTATATGAATATTCAGAGTCTATAATCTAGCTGTGCATTGAGACCAGCTAAAATCTTGGATTTCAGTAGATAGTGCCTAGAAGAAGGTTTAGTTTGTGTTCCTTTAAACAATAGGCAGCTCCAATGCCAGAACATGAAACTCTGCCCCCTGAAACAATACTTCCTCCTTCCTTGGTCACATTGCATATAATCCCATCACTCAGTACTCTGTATGTAAGGACTCTTCCTTAAAATTAAGCATTGTCAGACCATTTGTGCTGCTACAGCATAGACCAGTGGTTCTCAATCATTTCCACCTTTTAAATACCTTTTGTGGCCATGGACTATGAAGACTTAAGATTTAAATCATAACATTTCTTCAAGCCTTGGTAGACCCTCTGTGATGACATTGCGGCCTCCCAGGGTTTTGCAGGCCACAGGTTGAGAATGCCAGCCTTCTTGCCCACAGTATTTCCTTCTGAGGAAAGGTTCCTCTAAACAAGACTTATGTTAGGTATTTTGAAAAGTAGACCTGGTTTCTTCCTCACTGACCATTCTAGAGAGACATGCTGGCTATTTTCCAACTTCAGCATTTTATATACAAAGAGAGCATGTGAGCTATTCAGATCAGTGTTTCTCAGCCTTGGCAGCTTGTGTGTGGATTTCAAATCCCAAAATTCCCCAGTCAATATGCTTAAATATCTTAAAGTAGCCAAGGATGAGAAACACTGATTTAGAGATCTACCTATTTCCTTTTGTATGAGAACCTTCCTCCTAGTTGATATATTAGGCTCTTCTGCCTCTGAAGACACTATACAGCAGGTAGGTTTAGATGGTGCTATACAGATAGTTGTGAGTGCGTTCACTTTAATGGATGGTTTGGGCCCTACTCTTTCTAGTCTCCTGTTTGAGATCCAAAATGTGTCTCATGGGAGGGCAGGCATTGACTTGGGCAGTTGTCTGTGAATTAGAAGTGAAAATCGCAACATATATATCTGTCTGTCAGGCATCAATATATAAAAAAATAGTTAATCAGTAATTTCACTGCCTTGTCACATCACATTCCAGAGAGATTAAATAATTTATCTTCTTAATGTTTATCTCACTATGACATACTATGTAAGTTTTATTGGAAATCTTATAAAGATATTGTAGATCAAGTATCAAATGAGAAAAGTAGCACAAGGGTCCTATTGTTACCTCATCAAATGTTTATTAAGGAAGTTGGAACATTGATTTACTGCAATATATCAAGTCTGCTTGTCATTTCATTTTCAAGATACATTAATAGTTTAAATTTGGGAATAAAACCAATCTATGAATTGTGTGAGGCTTTTGTCTGTAGAATCATTTCTCTATCTATGTATTTTCAATATCACGTGTGATTTCAGAAAGAAAATTTGATATAGCTTTATAGAGACTAGAATAATAAATTAAGTCTGTACATAATAATATTGAAATGTTTCAGCGTCCTGGTTATACTCAGTTAAAGAATTGTGTTTTTTTATTTGATTTTACCTTAAGTAGTCTTGTATGGGGAGGGGGGAGGTTTGTATATAAGAATTTCATTGTTTCCTGATAGTCAAGGGAATATCTTTTTTTTTAATATATAATTTTTATTGGTTTTTAAAACGAACACAGACAAACAAAACATAAAACCATCAAGCCATCTTCCATATATATATATACATACAGTGTGCCGGTTGGTTTACAAATTGTTTTATGTTTCCATTTCGTAGTCTTCAATTACAATTACATGTATATATTCTCATATTTTCAATCAAGTACTAAATACATCAATATCATTGTTAATCAATCATTTGACTATAGTTTTATTCATTCATGTTTTACGAATAATCATATTTTACTTAAATTGTTCTGTGACAGTTCATATTGTCATCTCAAATCTATCCTACAATCATTTTGTAACTATAATAAGAAAAGAATACATCTGGAATATCTAACGAGAAGGCTATACCTATGTCATGTGCACTTTAATCTTTTGGTTGGAAGCCTGAGAAAGACAGATAGTATGTCCTTAAGGCTCTTTACTGTTGAGTCAAATACACTGCTAAGATCAGCTGGAACAGAACTTCAAGAAGGCAGGCAGATATCAATATAAGGGAACTGTACAGAGGGACATCCTATTAATGGTCTTCTGATTTCTTTTATATATTTAACAAGAGCCACAAGCACTGTGTCTCACAACCAGAGGCATCACATTGGCAAACATGACTGATCTTGGGGGAAGGGTGGGGAGGACAGGATAGGAAAATGGTGTTGAGTGTGGTTAGAACTTGCTTTGGAGACTATCGGGAAACCCCAGGGTTATAAATTGGGTTAGGTAACTTGTGTCCCATTAGGATATTTTTCAAAGCCATTTCTTTGCCTAAACAGAGAAACAGAATGGCTGCAGGCAGGGAAAAAAGGCAGTGGAAGTGGGAGCAACTTCCAAATTCCTGTCGGCTTCCCCATTGACTTTCCTTATGGGAAGTTGGCAGGGAGCTTCAAAAATGTTCCTCCTTCCCTTCTTCCTTTCTATCCTTACCTCATTTTTAACCTCTCCATTCCTTCCTTCCTCATGGTACCCCTCTTCTTCGCTCCCTTTCTCCTTTCTTCTCCTTCCTTCCTTCCTTCCTTCCTTCCTTCCTTCCTTCCTTCCTTCCTTCCTTCCTTC